TAAATAAAAAGAAAACATGGAGAATATGCCTTCTGTTTGTCATGCCAGCTACTAGAGGGTAGAATAGCCACACTTCCTAGGACAGGTATAATTTAAAGAGAGGGACTATGGTCAGAATACATTAGACAGTGCTTGTCAATATAATTTAAAGAGAGGGACTGTGGTCAGAATACATTAGACAGTGCTTGTCAATATAATTTTAAGAGAGGGACTGTGGTCAGAATACATTAGACAGTGCTTGTCAATACAGATGCTTTTTGACTTACGATGGGTTAAAACCACATAAACCCACTATAAGTTGAAAATATTAAAAGTTGAAATTATGTTTAATACGCCTAACCTACTGGATATCATAACTTAGCCTAGCCCACCTTAAACATCCTCAGAACACTTCCATAAATCTACAATTAGGCAAAATCATCTAGCAACACAGCACACTGTAGAGCAGGGGTCCCTAAACTCTGGGCCGCAGACTGGTAGCAGTCCCTGGCTTGTTAGGAGCTGGGCGGCACAGCAGAAGGTGAGTGGCAGGCAAGCGAGCATTACTGCCTGAGCTCTGCCTCCTGTCAGATCAGCAGTGGCATTAGTTTCTCATAGGAACACAAACCCTATTGTGAACTGCGCATGCGAGGGATCTAGGCTGAGGACTCCTTATGAGAATCTAGCTAATACCTGATGATCTGAGTGGACGGTTTCAACCCGAAACCATCCGCTCAACCCCCCAGCTGTGGAAAAATTGTCATCCATGAAACCAGTCGCTTGTGCCAAATTGGGAACTGCTGCTGTATAATATCGGCTGTTTACCCTCATGATTGAGTGGCTGACTGGGAGTTGTGGCTCGCTATCACTGCTCAGCACTGGGAGAGTATCTTACAGCATATTGCTAGCTCAGAAAATGATCAAAATGTGAAATACAGTTTTAAGGTGCAACTAACCAGGAGAAGACTTTGTTAAAATGCGCCCCCAGAGGTTCTGATTTTATAGCTCTGATTGGAACTTAGTATCAGGGATTCTCCTACAGGTATCTTGAATCTTACTTTGAGACACACTGATCTGTACGAGTGTTTGGGGCATGCATTTTTGCCTATCTTTTCTCTTGGGATTACAAGGCAGAAAGATTATTTAGAGGAAAAAAAATCTTAATAATAACAGAAACTAGGGTATAGAAAATCTAAAGTGTTGGTTAATTTAAAGGTCATTCCTTGCTTTATCTAACATGTTTCAAAGGAGACTCACTTTGTAAATATTCAGAATCAAAGAAGTTACTGAAATGTTTTTATTGGGAGTTTTACTTTGACCAGTAAAGATCACAGAATCCTTAGACTACAAATATGTAAACATTTTTGATAAAATATCCTTTCTATGACCATCTCACAGCTCCCCTAATTTTATCCTTTATGGGTGCTATGGTTTGGCTCTGTGTCCTTACCCAAATCTCCGAACTGTAATCCCCACGTGTTGAGGTGATTGGAACATGGGGCAGTTTCCTCTGCTGTTCTTGTGATTCTGAGGGAGTTTGCATGAGACCTGATGGTTTAAAAGGGCAGTTTCCCTTGCGAGCTCTCTTGCTCTCTTGCTGCCAGGTGAGATGTGCCTTGGCTTTTCTTTGCCTCCTGCCATGATTGTAAGTTTCCCGAGGCCTCCCCCAGCCACGAGAAACTGTGAGTCAATTAAACCTTTCTTCTTGATAAATTACCCAGTCTCAGGTATTCTTTATAGCAGTGTAAAAACAGACTAATAAAATGGGTGTCAAGAAGCCCCCAAGCCTAATGTCTTAGTATTGTAAAATATAGTTGTTTGGAACTCTATAGTTCCAAATAGAGTTTGTGTAATTTTATCGTGGTCTTGATTGAACAAGTATCGAGATTCTTTCATATGTGTAAAGATTCAAGTGTAGTAATGCACAATGTCCTAGGTAAGGATGACAATTTTATTTTTGTCAGTGCCCCCAGAGAGTAGTAGCATCCTTTTGGGGTAAGTTTTGTCATTGCTTTTAAATGAAAAAAAACAGGATAAAATCATTCAAATCTGTGATAGGATTCTATCATTGAAGAGTTAAAGAGACAGAGGGACTGTGAGTAAAATGAAACTTGGTTCTGAAGCCAGGACTTAGACCAATGAGAGGTTAGTATGAGTTTTTCAGATAGATGTAAAAACAGTCTATCTTCTATGAGCACTCATGGACCAAAGAATACAACCCTCCACCCCCACATATTTCATATGAAGATTTTCCAGTGTCACTTCCTCTTTTCTTCCTGGTTTTTGGGGGAGTTCTATGATTATATGTCAATGAAAAGTAAGTTCTGTAATCTTCCAATCTCTCTCTCTCTCTCTCTCTCTCTCTCTCTCTCTCTCTTTCTCACACACACACACACACACACACACACACACACAAATAAGAAATGTTTTTTTTAACTTAAAGGCCAGAAATCTACAATGTATCATTTTAAGTATAATCCTATAGAAAAAAAAGATGTTTTGCAGAAATTAGGCTTCCTTTATGATGAAATTTAATTAGTGACACTTTTAATAATCTACACGTTATTAATCTGTCCCCTAAAATTTATTTTGATGTGATACAAGTTATCCTGAAGGAATCCTCCCAGTAGACGTACTTCTAAAAAAAGAGGTATTCCTTCAAGGTTTGGTAAATTTCCAGTTATGTTAGATTAACTACTTAGGAAGCCTCTATAGAGTTAAAATCTGGAACAAGTGATTAAATGAGAATTTGTACATTATAATCATGAAACACAGGACTTATGGTGTTAACTTTATTACAGAGAATTGCTGTGGCTCACATCAGAAATTAAATCCTTTCAAAATGGGTGGGCTGATGAATAGCCCAAATTTGACTTCCAAACTCTATTAGTTACGTGTGCCAAGAATGGATTTCTTCCCTCCCCCCACTGGCCCCCACCAGGACTTGGGGCAGCCAAGAGGAATCTGGGATGATAGGAATTTCTTGGCTGGTTATTTCTACCTCTTTATCTGTTTCCCCCAGTGCCACCCAAACATGTGTGTTGTTTATGCCATTATGTGACAAAGTTGGAAAGACTTTGTTCTTAAACCGTTCTGATTTCTGTAGTTCATAATTTTATGATCAGTTGATGGATGCCTTCCAAAATATTACATGTACCCACTCTTAAATAGAAAAAGACCTCATGAAGCAGCATTATTGTTGTCTGCTTTGAAAGAGCTAAAATTAAGTTTTCCATTCCTTCTAGAGTTCTGGCCCAAGGTGACTTAAAAATAAAAAGTTTTAATAAACATTTAGACCATCATGTATTTTGTAATACAGTCGGGTCACTGCTGATTCCTAAGATAAATGTGTTTAAACAGAAGCTTTCTCATTCAGCAGCAGCCTCAGCTTTCATCTAAATTTATTTAATGATGATGCAAGCCCATAGTGTTGGTGTTACAGTTAGTCACCATGGAAGTGTTTCTGTCAACAAATCCTTGCTTTACTATCATGAAATTGATTTCGCAGGGGCAAGGAGGATAATCGTGAAAGCTTCTTTTTACTCTTAAAGATCTTCACAGTTTGCCTGGATGTCTAAATGAATTGTATTTAAAATCAGTAACTGGCAATAAAATTGACCACACTAAATTAACAGTTACAAGGTTAGAAAAGGGGAAATGGCAGTAAGCTACTTTGTCTGAAACTGTCTTTTGGGAATGTGACTTGAGGACCAGACTTGTAATTTAAAATGTTCCCTGAAAGCGGTTATTCTCTGCGTAGAAGCATGGATTATGCCCAGGGAGTCCCATAGCAGAATTTCTAGGATGATTTGGCTGAGTTTTTCTCATCTACCTTGTAAATGGCATTATAGTCACAGAAGAAATGCATAGTATATTACTTCTTTCAACTAATATAGTGTATTAAAAATATGCCTTTTCTATAACTTAAGTTCATAACTATCTTTGGCTTTTATTGTTTGTTGAGAGTTTAAAAAAACAAACTAAGCTTCTGAATGCTGGCCTCTTATAAGCAGGGTAAGTAGCACCTACATTAAGTAATTCAAACTGTTTTGGGAGCCACATAGGAAAAAGAAACAAGAATGACTTTTTTTTTTTATTTGAAGCAGGGTGTTCAGGAGCTTATGTCACAGTGGCTGGAGCACTAAGTAAATTTGGTTGTAAATATATGTTTTGTGGGAGTTTGGATCTCTGGTAGAAATACAGTCAACTCTTGATTGTCAAGGTAACTGTATTTCCAAATGTGCTTTCTCTGGCTTCCTGTCACATATCAGAGCTTTTTAATTTTACCATCTGCTTATATGTGTTCACACAAATCAGAATTATTCAATAGTATTTTATTTCATTATCAGTAAACATTTAAGTTCCTAATATACTCTAAGCAATGTGCTGGCCTCTAGAGATACTGAGATACATCGCAAGCATGAAGTTATGTTTGCTTCTGAAAGATCTTATAGTTCACTTTGAAATCAAAGAGATGTAATCTTTATTTATTTCAACCACTTTCTCCTCTTCCTAATTAGAAGTTGACCGTAAATGGGACATAGTTCCTGTTTGTTTTTAAAGAAGAATTAATAGAGATTATAAGCAAAAGATAAAATTCTATTGTACATGCAGAAATATAACACAGAATGACCAAAAGAAAATTCAGCAAGCAATGGTAAAAATAACAAATTATTTACTGCTTTATAATGTTAAAGTATTTCACCAAGACAAGTTGCAGTCAAATTAAAGTGAGTTATGGAAAATGAAATACATAAAGATGTATTTATACAAGTGCAGACTAAATATTTTCCATACAGGTATGTAAATGAAAAGATATACAGTAAGTGCACACTTGATATGACTATGCAGGCAACAGTTAGTTTCAGTATTCTTGTATAGTTCATGCACAAACCTTCCCAAAGTACGAGTTCAGTCTTTGGGGGATATGGAGGGATGATTAAAAAAGGATTGAGTTCCTTGCAAAAATATCAGTATGGACTAGATGAGGGTAAGTGTGGTCAGTTATATATATTACTTACTGTAATTTGTGATTGTCGAGGAAGAGATGTGGCTGTTGGTGTGATAGTAATACTGCTGGTGACTTTATTGGTTGTTTTGTTTAGCGCCCCATTAGTTAAGCCTTGAGTTCGGTTATCCTGCAGTGGTGCTGAAGGGCTGGCAGGTCTCACAGGGCTGGCTACAGCTTGCATGTAAGGACTTCCTAAGTGAATGTGGATTTTATTATCCTCAGTAGTTATCACACTTGCACTGTTACTGTTTGAACGTTGAAACTGCCATGATGACTGCCGGTCTGGGGAGACTCTGAATATCGCATGCTTGGCACTGATTTCTATTGGTTCTGGGGAGCGTCCCTGCTCAGGAGAGCTAACTGAGCCAGTCACAGCCAAAACCTGAATAGGGGACATTGTCCTTTCTGGAGTTAGAGAACCACAAGACTCTGGGGTCTGTGCTCTGGCAAAAGTTGCCATGGTAATTGGGGACATGCCTTGTTCTAAATTCATGAGGTCTTCAGTCGAGGTTTTGGATTTTACTGGTGTTATGGAGGCATTTTGGAGGATGGTTATCCTCTGTTTTGGGGTGCCACAGTTAGGTATCACTGCAGTACTTGTGTAAGAGTGAGGACTCTCTGTGGTGGGACTCGTGATTTCAAGAGTGGCTGTGTTTTGTACATGGTCTGGAGTGACCTTTATATGAAGTGGCTGCCCAGGTGTGTGGCTTAGGACTAGATCTCCAGGTTGCACAAAGTTCGCATTGGGTTTAGTTTGTATTTTTCCATTCTGAGGATGGCCCTCCTTGGATTTCATCCACGGAATCCATAGCTTTCTGTTAACAGGACATGGAGTAGACTGGCTGCATTTGAAGGACAGCACAGATCCCTCATCATTGGGATCCTCGTCTTGATCCTCACTCTCCTCATATAACTGACCATTGATGACTGCACGTTCCAGAGGAATGAGGCTCTTGTAATCAGGTGGTTCATTGTCTACTGCTTCTGTCTGCACTTCTTTAGAAAATACTTGAGGATCTGAAATTCTTCTTCCATTGAGACTAGGCCTAAGGCCCTTACTGAAATGCCGGTACCTCTCTAACTCCTTAGTGAGGTTTTCAATCTCTCTTCCTAAATCTCTGTTCCTGTTTTCTTGTTGATTTAACCTTTTTTGCAGGACTGAGTGATCTCCCTGGAGGTGACATATTAGGTCTTCAGTTGCCATGTATTCATGAATTTTCTCTTTTAATGCATCCACTTCTCTTGAGAGGTGCCCTGACTTAGCTTCTTCCTCTTGAAGCCTTTTGAAAAGCCATTGTTCATGGCTGGACTCTGTCTTTTCTGCTAACTTGTACTTAGCAAGTTCCATTTTAACATGTTCCAACTCTTCAGATAAAAATTTAGCTTTGTCTTGTTCATTAGCATACCTTCGTTCTAGAGTCTCATACTCATCTTCTGTTTTCATGAGGTCATCCTCAATGGCTTTCATATCCTTTAGCTTCAGTTTCAGTCTTTCTACTTCTTGAGAGAGCTCCTTAATCTTAGTGTTTTCTTGGTGTAATGCTGTTGTGGATTTCCCAGAATCTTGATTTAATTTGTATTTTAGAAAATCTTTTTCAATTGCTTCCAATGATTGAAGCCTGTTTTTCAACATGTTAACTTTTGACAGGAGATCATTTCCTTTCTCTACTTCCGTTTTCAATTTGTTTTTCAAATCATCTCTCTCCTTGGTTATGCTGTACATTTTTTCTTCTACATCGGTTTTGGACTTGAGCGCCCTTTTAGTTTCCTCAATTAACTTCTCAGTAACTGCTGTTACTTTATTTTGCTCCACTTGAAGCTGAGAAGAAGCAGCTTGTAATTTATCTTCAGTTTGCTTTAATTTTTCACTCATTGCTTTCCGTTCGTCTACAAACATCACAGTTAATGTTTTCAGTTTAGTTAAATCCTCTTTTAGAGTGAATTCTGTCTGTTCCAGCCGACTTTCAACGGCTTCTAGCTCTTTAATCCTTACTTTTAAACTCTCCAGTTCTTGAGACAACTGTTTTGTGGTCATCCTTTCCTTTTCTAAATTGCATTTCAGAGAGTAGCATTCTTGTTTGCTTTTGTTGAAAGCGTCTTCTAACTTTTCCAGAGCCATAATTCTTTTACTGAGTTTTTCCACCTCTAGTTTAAAGTCTTTACTCTGTGAAGTCTCCTTTTCAAGCCTCTTATTGAGATCTCTGCACTGCTCCTCCATTTTTATGAGCTCTTCATCTTTCCCTTCCATATCTAGCACACGTTTCCTGAGCTCTTCCACTTCAGCCATGATGCCAGCATTTCCATATTCTCCCTTACTGATTTTTTCTTTTATATCCTGCAGCTCCTCTTCTGCTTTTCGTAAAGACCTGTTTGTCTCTTCTAACTCATCAATCTGCCGGCTGAGTGTTGCCAGCTTCTGTTGCAGCTGGCGATTTTGACTGTCCTCATTGGTGAGCTTCGCCATAATTGTCTCTCGTTCCTGGTGAAACTTTGTGGCCTGCGTTTGCAGTTCCTTCTCTAGTCTGTTTGCCTTCTGCTCTTCCTCCTGAACTCTGGCTTCAGCAAGGGCTAGCTTGGTATGTGTTTCCTTTGCATTTGTGGTCAGCTCTTGGATTTTCTGTCTTTGACGGGTGAGCTGTGCCGTCAGTCTTTGTTGTTCATCCACCACCATCAAAGCAAAAGACTTCAGCTTCGTCAGCTCCTCTTTCAGGGTGGTGACCCTCTTCTCCTTTTCTTGCTCCTTCTCTTCCTGAGACTTGGTTTCTTGATCAATTAGCTTCTTTAATCTGAAAAATGTAAAGTGCGTTTTATTTTGTGATTGAGGCTTTAGTACACATCGACTATAGTTAAATACATATGTGATTTAGAACTTATGTAATTGTAAGAACTGTGTCAGTCCATATAGGATATGCAAAAGAGTTCCTGAATTTGATGAGGGAGGAAAATCTGGATATCAGTTATCTTGCTTTTTTCTTTCACTACCATTGATCAGTAACAGCTGCATTTCACCAGGAGCCTTAGTAAAAGAATAAGGGCAAGAATATTTGGTTTAAATTGCTTGGGTAACATATAATTAGTAGGCAGTCTGGCCCGAAGGCTATGAAAATAGGCACAAGCTTGAGATCATACAGTTAGACCTGGCTTCAAGACTGACCTTACTCTTACCAGCTAATTGATGTGGGCAGTTATTTGACATCTCTGAGCCTCAGTTTTTCTCATATGAAAAATGGGGGCAATCATTATATTTACTTCAGGGGCTTTTTATGAAAATTAAATGAGGTAATTCATCTGCGATTCTCCTTGTCCTGGCACATGGTAAGCATTTGGTATTAGTTGTTGCTGCTATACTTTTTTTTATTAATATGGTTATTATATTTATCAAATGTTTTGCTTGAACCAAAGTATGTTGTGCACTAATGTTTGATGTTCACCTCCTTGTTTGGTAGTTAAGAGAAATCTATTCACATTGCTTAGAAGTTACACACTTTACTGATGGATCGCTGGCCAATTAAAACTTGGTTTGCACTAGCACAACATTATTCTAGGAACCACTTCATATATATCTTATCCTCATAGTGGATAGCAGTTAAATGAGGAGAACTGAGAGGCATCTGTATGGGTTTGGAGTTTTCATAACATTTGAGAAGAGCATGGGGTTTGGTAGGAAAGTGGTTATTGATGAGAGTCTGGTGCTAGACATGATGGAAGAGAAGCTGTTATCAGGAACACAGTAATTCCCTCTTAAATGACGGCTACTATGACATACTATTTTCTTGTTTTATGTTTTAAATTTTTCAGCATAACAGGAGGGTATATTACATTGTAGTATAAACTATCTTCCACCTCAGTAGTGAGGTCAAAGTTTTAAATTTGTGGCACTCTTAATTATACTGCAAATGGGCTGATTACAGAGAATGTAATTACAGTTGTGCAGTACTGTAATACAGAAGCTAAAATAGAATGGAATCCCTCAGAAGTTGAACCAAAGGACTTGTCATGGATGAAGTTATAAACATTTACATTCTGATAGGTATAAAGAATTCATAATACTTTAACGTATCTTTTCTATTAGGAGTGAGTTAATTATCCAGTGCATGTCTTTCATCTTTATCACAAATCTTACTTTTTGAAAGTTGTGTAAGAATTTCAGAGAACTTTTTTCTCTTCCTTTTTTTTTTTTTTCTATGACTCCCTGGTTCAAGTTATTGTCCTGCCTCAGCCTGCCAAGTAGCTGGGATTACAGGCACACGCCACCACGGCCAGGTAATTTTTGTATTTTTAGTAGAGACGGGGTTTCACCATGTTGACCAGGATGATCTCAATCTCCTGACTTCATGATCCATCCACCTTAGACTGCCAAAGTGCTGGCTCCAGGCCGAGAGAACATTTTAAAAGGAAACTAATGTAGGGTCATCTTCTTGGAAATAGAGTCCTTCTTTTTGAGATTCTAATCTGCTCTTTTCTGTAATTTTCTGTAATTACATTATACAGGCGTCTAATGTGTCTAAAATAATCTTGTAAGAATTCTCAAACTTTTTTGTGGGAATCTACTTTTAGTTTTTTTCTGTTGTGAGAACTTAACAGGAGGCTGGCCTCAGGGCTGTGGCTTGTAAAATTCAGAAGAGGCTAGGCAGGATGCTGGGGTGTGGTTTTGATGATCTCATCCATGGCCTTAGCAAAAGGCTTGCCCATGGCTTCTGGCCATGCCCCATCCCTATTTGAGACACATGAGAGCCTGAAAAGATAAACATGGCAGTGTGTTTGTGAATGGTCATGGGACTTCTCAACCCAATGGCAGAGTCCACAAGTAAACTGCTTTGGTGGTGAAATAGTTAAAAAAAAAAAAAAAAAAAAAAAAACTGCTGGGCACAGTGGCTCACGCCTGTAATCCCAGCCAAGGCAGGTGGATCACGAGGTCAAGAGATGGAGCCCATCCTGGTCAACATGGTGAAACCCCGTCTCTACTAAAAATACAAAAAATTAGCTGGGCATGGTGGCGCGTGCCTGTAATCCCAGCTACTCAGGAGGCTGAGGCAGGAGAATTGCCTGAACCCAGGAGGTGGAGGTTGCGGTGAGCCGAGATTGCGCCATTGCACTCCAGCCTGGGTAACAAGAGCGAAACTCCGTCTCAAAAAAAAGAAAAAAAAAAAAAAAACTTTGGCAGAATGCTTCTTCCTCCTGCCTTAGAATTAGAATTCATTTGATTTAATGATTTTGACAATGCCTTGAGCATAATTACAGTGAAATATTTTCCCCTCTCTACACCACAGTGCTTACAGTTTTATTAGAGAACAGTTTCACAAAAAATTTTAAGTATTTACTTTTGACTTATTAAATCATAGCATGTGCTATTTCATTTTTATGAGAAGGAAGTGTGTTTTCTTAGGATATAAGGGAGAGAAGATTGTTTTCAGTATAATAAAAAAGTGTATTTAAAAAGAATAATGATTAGTGAATGCAGTGCAGTAACCTGTAAAAAAAGGTTTAGAAAAAACTTTCAGTTGCTTCCATTTTGTTCAGTGTTTTTGGAGCAGGCATGATGCATATTTTTCAGCATGATGCAAACATAAGCATCTTTTTCATGGTTTTTGTAAATTGGTTGGCATCTCCATATGTTCCCCAAGCTCTATCTGATTATTTGAACGCATTTTCTCTAAGCATTTCCTTACTTCTTGTTTTCCAATAACCTGCTATTTCCCTGGGCCACTCTCATGTGCCCACCACAGGACAGTCAGCTGTCTAGTCTGGTGGAGCCTGTCAGGAAGGGAAACAGGAGTTTATATGCAGAAAAAACTATACCACTTAGCCATCAACTTGGGAGCTCAGGACAAGGAACCAGTGAGAACTGAGAGCAGGAGGCCCTGATGCAATCTTTTCAGAGCCAGCTGGATACAGGTAATGCTGTTACACTTGGTGTGATTGTGTACATGTGTGTGAGAGAGGGAAATAGCTGGTTATACTACCAAATTTGGAGGAATCAGCACTTTTGATAGTGATGAGTGGGCAACCGTAAAGCATTATTTCTTGCCTTATATCCAGGAGCATTTGAAGGTTGAAGTTTGAGGCTAGTTTTTGGTCTTGAAGAAAGCACAAGGTGAGGAGGGTGTGGAGTTGAGCCTCCTAAGCCTGCTTCCTACTTTGAGTAGGAATGGACTTTCGATATCACAGTAACTTAATTTTCTGTCACCATTACTCCATTATTTTTCTTTAGAGATTCACAGGATTTAGCATTGATACTGGCTTCATATGCTAATACAGGTTATCATGAAGTCTTTGCTAGCTTTTAGCCAGGGTTTTTATAATCTTCAAAGTAGCATAGACCTTGAGGTGCAGAACTCTGCAGATCTAAAATTCATTCCCTAATAGCTGCATTGTCAAATTATGCCTCCTTTTTCCATTAACAGTTCCAGTTTATGTGCCTTTATGCAGGGATAATGTATGCCAGGGTTTCTCCATCTTCAGCATTATGGACATTAGGAGCCAGATAATTTTTTCATCGTGGAGGTCATCTTGTACACTCTAAGATGTTTAGCAGCATCCCTTTGTCATGAATTAAAAATGTTTCCAGGCCAGGTGCGGTGGCTCACGCCTATAATCCCAGTACTTTGGGAGGCCGAGATGGGTGGATCACGAGGTCAAGAGATCGAGACCATCCAGGTCAACATGGTGAAACCCCGTCTCTACTAAAAAAATACAAAAAGTAGCTGGGCATGGTGGTGCATGCCTGTAGTCCCAGCTACTCGGGAGGCTGAGGCAGTTTGTTATTGATTTGCTTGAACCCAGGAGGCGGAGGTTGCGGTGAGCTGAGATGGTACCATTGCACTCCAGCCTGGGTAACAAGCAAAACTCTGTCTCAAAAAAAAAAAAAAAATGTTTCCAGACATTGTCAAATGCTTCCTGGCAGTCACTTCCAATTGAGAACTACTGATCTCTGCATGTGTATGTTTGTGGCATGTGTGTATGTCAGTCTGTCAGTAGAAGTTAAACTCCATTGTTTTGCCTTACTCTGCTTTAATTAAACAAGTGCAGCAGAGAGCCCCCACCTAAACTACATGTGTGATTTTATCTTCCCTGCTAGTGGCCATTCTTTACCAGTGCTTCTCACAGTTTAAATGCATTTGAATCACATGGCAATCTTGTTAAACTGCAGATTCCAATTCAGTGGGCCTGGGTGGGCCTCACAGTTTGCATTATAACAAACTCCCAGATGATGCCAAATCTCCTGGCCCTCAGACTGACTGTGGGAAGCAAGGCTTTGCCATTTACATTTCAGGTGTTTCCTGGAAATGAGATACCATTTGAATATTAACTCTGCCAACTGTTTGTTACTGATTTATACCCAATCTGCAGTACCACAGCCTGTATTCCTGATCTACATGACCGCCCATTTTTTTCACACAAAAAAAATCAGGTGGGAGAATATGATTAAATTACCTAAAATCTGTCCACATTTCTGGGGAACAACATGACTCAAAATGCATACCATAGTTGGGGGGGTCAGAACCTACATTTTCATGCAAAAAGAGCACTAAATGATTTTAGTTCCAATTTGTGGTTTTATTCACACAGCACAAAGACTAAAATATAGGAGACTATGTAATAGCTGCCATTCTTTACTTAGTGCCAGTGATGTGTTGCCAGGCACTGAGCTGAGTCTGTACATCTGTCAATTCTAATATCATGATAAATTTTCAGGGTTTGGAATTGTTTCCATTTTATAGCTGTGAAAATTGAGGCTCAGAAAGGTCAGGAAGGAGCAAAGCCTGTGCTGTTTCTCCACATTATA